TGTCCGTCGGTGATTAGAGGTTATCATTGTAGTGCTGCATGTTTTCGGTCTGAGCATCGCTACAACCAAGCACATTTTTTTTTTTATTTTGTTATGACACTCTTGGTAAAATAGAAATTTAACATGCCTGAAGGAACTAGTATTAAACTAGTTTGAAGCTGATGAAGAGTCGGACAATTGAGAGTTCGTAGGACATCGCCGAGTTAAAAACACTACTTGATTACATGCATTTTTTTACCGGGAAACCTCGTAAGTAGCATGTGATAAGATTAAGAACCAGTCAAAAACAACCAAATTAAGAGGCATAAAATTTAATATCCTGTATATTATTGGGAATGCTGAAATGGTAGAGAGGTAGGAAGATCGGTGCTTAACTCTGCCATAGAAGACTAACTTTAGCCGGGACTTATTATCGGTGCACAGCTCCGATATATACAAATGTACACTTGATTAAAATTTGAATCAAACTCAGCGTTGATCAATCATGATATGCCTGATAAAGTACACTTGTTACTGTTGGTCCGATGTGATACTTACTGAGGCTTGATGAAACAATTTCTTCAAAGTATTCTACCGATGTACATCATCTAGCCGTGCGCGGCATTGGCAGAGATGTAGTGCTCCACCGACTCCGCCTAGTCTATGTCTTCACCGTCAGTCAGTGATTGCCATGCTCATAGAAGAACCGTTTAAGAGCAGTAGAGAATTATTTTTTTCTTGGATCAATGGCCAGATCTTTCTGGTTACAATACATTGCGTTTCATCCTGTCAACTTTTTTTCGCTCTATTAGTGAAGGCTGACCATAACAGGTACTTTGCCGGAGAAAATAGTATGATCACAGCGTGTGCAGAGGTTGCGGTATGCGGTTAAAGCTGATTTTCTGTCAGCCAGGTCTAGTAGGCCTCGTAATTCCCTGGTATGTAAGTCTCTATGTCGGGGTCTCATATCAGGGAGATTTTTTAAGATTTCTTTGCATCTTATTGCCACCGTTGAAATAATATGATTTATTTGCGGACACTTAGCACATAGGTCGAGTTACCGTTTCAGAGTTTAGTTAGCATTTCATCAATTTGGTAAGCTCTGATTGAAAGACGCAACAGGGGTCGGCAAATCTCTAGCTCATGTTGATAGCTGAAGTGATTTTCGGCCGGGTAACATTGAAAACATTCCATAAGAAGAGACATGCCCTGCTGAAGGGCGAACCCAATAAGTAAAATTAATTTAGGATATACGTCGAAGCAGTAATCGAACTATGGCCATATGAATGACAATAGGGTGGTACTTTTTTCTAAACAAAATATTACAAATTTCAATCAAACAAAAAAAATTTAATTTTCAGTTATTAATATTTTAGTATACTTATATATGTCTATTTATGTAAGCGCATATGTTTATTTGTATATATGTGCATTAATAACGACATGAACACCCTTTTTTTGGAAATATAAACATGTGTATTGGAGCAAAAAGCGCAGCAACACACTATTATTACTTACATAAAGCATAATAAAAAGAACTTCAAGCCACAGCACTAACAACAACTTACACACATACATACATACATACATACTACATACATAACTAGCGGGGAAAAAAGAAGCAGCGCTGCTGCTTTAGCTGGCAACAACTTTCACCTATTAATATTCGTGTCGTTCATTGCTTATGCAGAATCGTAGAAAGAAACCGAAAGAAGTAAAAGAAGAGAAAACATAGCAGTGAATTGTAGAAATGTTGTATACACGTATGTGTTGTATACAAATGTACTTTAAAATATATATGTATATAATTACAAGTGGCTGTTTGTATATATATATATATATATATATATATTTATAAATTAAATGAAATAACAAAAACCACTTAAAGCTCCTCCAACTACTGTAGAAGCTCAAAATTTTAGTTGATTAAAATCATGTTTTTAAATACAAAATTACAATTTTTTTTATATATTTTAAATCCTGCGGAGAAACTTCGGCTTTCTTGATAAAATCTTCTATATATATATGTTCGTATATATATATATATATATTATCAAAATTAATTTTTAAAATTATATGTAAGCTTATGTCAATTATATATTACATATATATTACATATGATACATATATTTATTATATATATGTTAGCAATATAAAATACCAACAGTCCATACAGCAGTCAAGTTCGATGATTGTTACGAGCTTTTCAGGTTTTCTTGCTTTCTTTAGGTTCGTGCCATGCCTTTGAAAGAAATATATTTATATATATTTTTTTTTATTTTTTCGTAAGATTGCTCAGACTAAAATCAATGAATTTTATTTAATTAAAATCTTGTACTAATTTTGAGCCCCCCTTCATATGTGCAGTTTCTTTTTCTTTGTTCCATAGTGCAAAAAAAAAATAAAATAAATTTAAAAATTTGAAACTAAAAATCTTACTAAAATATTGAAAAATTTTCGCCTCAAATTGCATATCATTTTTCAAGCCGACAGACAACTGGTCAAGGTGACTCCTGAACAAGGCAAACAAAGGAAAAAAACCTCATCTCACCTCGTGCTCCCGTTGTCAAGGCATGGTACCATACCTAAGCAGTCATTCAACTATACACTGACTCTATGAGTAGTGAAATTTCCCAAATACAAATCAAGTTTTCCGTTGAATAGAAAAACAGAAAAGCAATAAAAATAAATATTCCCAACTAAAAACAATAGAGTGATATGCACAACAACAAAATATGAAAGAAAAAAAAAAAAAAACAAAAAACAGCAACGGACTGTAGCGACTTGATTCAATGCTATTTTTCAATTTTTTCTTTACACATTTTGTCGAGCTTTTAACTGCCAAAGGCTATTGGCTGCTTTCGCTGCAACAGCTTCTTTGTGTTTTATTTTTTGCCTCTTTGCCACTTTGCCACTTTGGTTGCGGCAAAGTGAAAAGGCCTGCAAACTTGACTTGTTGCAGTTTAGTCATACACACTCGTACATATATGCATACATACATATGCAAATACATACATACATATACACAAACTAAGTTACACTCTTGTTGTAGTGTATTGTAGTGCATTTTATTGTTGTTGTTTTTGCATTTGTAAGATAAATGACACCGTTGAACGGCAACTGACTATGACTAGCCAAGTCGCTGCTGATTTGGCGCTTAGTACACAAGTTATGAAAACTTTTCTGGAAAGTCGTAGCATGTACTAGGAGACTTCAGAAATCTGGTTAGTTGACATTACTGCAGCACCGCTGTTGCTTTTAGCTGACTGCTGCTTTGGTTTCTACTTGTTTGTTGGCTTTCATTGCTCGCCAGCATACACTTGCGTTAAGTTTTAAGATTCCTCCCTCTGTTGTGATTTAGCTGATTTTATGCACTTCAAGCTCAATATGATTGTTATTGTTTTGGGTACTTTCCTTTAATGAAAATACGAAATGAACGCTTTTTTTGTAATTTAATTTGAAATTATGTTTTGTCCTTACTTTGGTCGATTTCAACAAAAAAAAAATTCAAAAAGTTTAACGAAAATATGAATTTATTTAGTTTTTTTTTTTGAGAAATTTTCAATAGTTGTTTGTGTTTTCCGCTTTTTATAAGCTTAAGATATATAATTTTTTTTCTATAAGTACCACAATTTGATTTTTTAACTTCTACAGGGTTTTCCAATAGGAGGTATTACATTGATATTCAAAGAAAAATTACATTTTTCGGTACAAATGATCGGATGTATATTTCAAGTTACCTTACCAGACACGTTGTGTAGGGAGAGGCCTTTCAATAATAAATCTTGGATTTTCCGAGAACTAGATGCGACAGTTTTGCTTCTGACCAGCCATTGAGGTGAAAATGGACCTCATCAGTCAAGATGATTTTTCGATGGACTTTTCAAAGCGAATTCTAATAATAATTTCAATGCGTTGTTGAAGAGTGTATCGCTGCATTTTTACTTGTGGCGTAGTTTTTACTTGTTAAATGCAAAAAAAAAAAAAAACAGCTACGGAAGTGTCAAATATTGAGATTGTATGCTATTCAAAATAACACCTCTTTGAGAAAACACTTTTATTTAATATTGTCCGCTATTTTTAAATAATATTAAAATCATATGTATTTTCTTCATTTGAGATTTTGTGCTTTTTTGAAAGTAAATGATAATTTGTAGAGACCTTAAAACTGAAGATAAATTTAGGAAATAATTATTAAAAATATTATTGTTAGGAAAAAGTAATTTAAAATGTTTTTAAATATCTCAAAAACCATAACCAAATATTCATGTTAAAAAAACGTAAAAAGTTGGGTTTTGAAAATTTTTTAAAACCAAATGAATTAAATAAATTCTTTATAATGTATTGTATTTGGAGCTTTTCGAACGTTAAAATATAATAAATAAATAATTATAATAAATAAAATCAATAAAATAAATAAAAACCAATAAAATAAATAGAATAAATGTATAAAATAAATAATTAAAATTAATAGACTGCTTAAAAAAAGTTAAAAAACATATCGATACCAAAGCTGCATCGTAGAGATAAATTTCACATTAAAAAAACAATTACAATCGTTTCGGTTGGAACATTTGGAAATGTTATCGTTAAAGCAGTTATCAAAATGAAGTTTATTTCGTTTTTAACCGAAACCAAAAGCTGTCGTTAATGTTAAAACGTTACAATGTTGCGACACTAACAGCTAATGTTTTATCCGTTAACAGATAACGTTAAATGTTAGAAATGAAGTGTGCTGTTAATACCATAGCAGGTAGCCATTTTAAAATTAACGTTAACGCTGAGTTTGTACGGTTTCAACATCAACAATTTCATTTTGTTAAATAACATGGTGCCAAAGCCCAGCACAAATCATTTCGAAAAATCGTAAATATCTGTATATTGGTTAAAAATATGTACAAGAATGAGTTTTCTGGTAACTCTAGAATTGTTGAAAATTTTTTTTTTTTTTTAATTTGCATTTCTAATCGACGCTACCCCATGAGTGTCCATATTTATTTCAAATATTTGTTTTTACTTACAGCAATATCGTGTAGAATATTGACAATTGGCATTGACATTGGGCGCCATAATCTCGTTGGCGGCCATGATTTCATTGGCGGCCATATCCATGAATGCTGTTTATTTGGAATTTTGGTGCAATGATTGCTAGCGGCCAGTGATCAGCGTGTATGTATGTAGATATGTATGCAAATTTTTGCGCACAATTAATCCAAAGGAATCTGGTTTTTTTTGTTTTATTGCCTGTTGATGTGTCCTTATGGTTGATTTATTTAGTTTATTGATTATTTATGAGTTGCGCAAAAGTTTTTTCAAAAATTGTTTAAAAATATTTCATTCTGTACAGTATTTGTGTAATTCTCTGCTTTTAGGTGGTTTTTCTCTTTTTGCTTTTTTCTGTATTTTTTTTTTGTATATTTTTGAAAGTGAAAAATTTCTTTTTACACGGCAGAATTCACACTTTCACTTTTCGTTTGCTTGCTTTAGTTTGTTTGTAGTGTTTCTACTGTGGCTTTTTCAGTATTTCATTGGTGTTGGTGTATATGTATTGTTGATAACGGTGAGTGGTCGTCGCATGATATTTATAAATACAAGCACATAGTTCGTATATGAATGTAACTGTGTACGCACAAAAGTATTCAGTATGAAACTTGTTGGCTGATTTCTAAATATTTTCTTCCACTTTTATAATTTCCTTTAATTCACACTGTTGTTGGTGGCGCGTATAACGCCAGCGAAACTCAAGTCAGAAACATTTTTGGTTTTAACATAAATAAAAAAATATTTTATTTTTCCGGTAATTATTTGTTGTGCAGGCGTTTTCAAGTCTATCGAATTTTTTTTTTTTGCATACAAATGATTTTTTTTTTTAATTTCTAAATATTTTTCAATTTGTTTTCAATTTTTTTGTTTGTGTATATATATTTTTTTTTAATTTAAAAAAATTAGTTTTTCCTTTATTTGAAAAAATAACACTTCACTTTCAGTTTATTTTTGCTCACTTTCAATTAATCCCCTCGCCGGCTGGCTATGTGTATGTCCCTTAAGCAGTCGAAGTAATGTAAATTAAATTTAAGAAGCGATCACCACAGTGTTCAAAGGTAAACTGAACTTTTCAAAGAATCGGATGTTCTCCGCGTCTTTCGGAAAAACGTAACGTCTACGTTGAGCAACTGGGAACGTCTATGCGGCGTACTGAAGTGAAACCAACGCTTATCCCCCAAACCGCTAAGCCGCTATAACTTTTTCTCCACTGCATTTTGTTGTTGTTTCTATTTCTGTTGGCGTTGTAAGTAACTGTTAGTTGGTTGTGTCTGTTGCCATTGCTGCTTCTTCGTTTGCTGCCACTACTTCTTTTACTGATCTTGTGTCTGCTAACTGTAAGCTTCTAGCAATTCAAATCGCAGCTATTTTGCTTATGTTGTTGACTTTCGCTTACACTACGCTCGCGCATTGGTATTGGTTGGGAATACTTTCACGCGTGCTCGCACAGCTATACTCATACGTACATACATACATGGAAAAGTACACCCGTAAATCAGTAAGCGTCTCTCTGCGCTCGTATATACTCGTATGTGTTTCGGTCTTTCGATGTTGCTGTGCTGTCTTGTTTGACTGTTGTTAAACTACTTCTGGGTTTCACGACTTCTTTCTTTTTGACGCTCTCAGCGGCACACTCGCCTTTTGCCATCGTTCCGTTTTCATTTCGTTGCATTGGTGCTTTTTCATTGCTACATAAGTTTGATGATATTTTGTGCTGTTCTTTTTCAGCTGCGGTAAACGCGTTGGTGCTTCGATTCGTTCAAACTCTTTTGATTTGTTTATTTAGAAAAAAAGTCCTTCTGCAAATTTAAAACGAAATTTAAAATTGGCCTCAGCACTTACTTTAAGATCATGTTGGCACGCTTCGAAACCTTTTCCAATAATTTACTGTCTATATTCTATAATTTTTCTTCGATACAGACGAAAACCCAAGTCATCATTGCATTAAACATGTAAAATGTGAAAAGTGCTTATTTATGGTCCTGTCACTGTAACCGTCGACTTAACCGTCAGGCAAGCGCTGTTTCGATTGCTCAGACGCTAAACATTGCACAAAAAACAGTTTTGAACCAATTGGCTGGCCACGCATGTGTTAAAGAGATAAAACTCAATGCATCGAATCTCCATTCGCGAACCGCTGTTGAATCGGGACCAAATCGACCCATTCCAAAAAGCGAAATTTGAGTGGATCACTTACAGTAATTTTAAATGAAAACTTTTGTGATCGAAGAACGGTGGGCCGGCGTAAGGCGGCCTCCAAGCCAGGATTCACGGAAGGTATTTTCTGTATTTTGTTAGGTGGAACTATACTTCCAGAAACAGCCTAGAAGCGCCTAGCGTTGGGCAATAGGAAGAAAGTTGTATTTCATTAGAGCAACGGCAGACACCACACTTCGATAGTGACTCGCCAGCATCTCTCAGAACTTAGAGACTTAATGACTTTACGTTAAGGAAGGCAACAAGTCATCGAGCCAACGTTGTATATTTGACATAAGTCGGATAAATCGAACTTTGGTAGAAAGTGTCTGCAATGTAATGCTAAAATAATTTATTATTTTCTATTAGACCAATATTTTACTACTTAGTGATAATCGTTGATAACAGTACTAAATGATGTCCTACTCAGAATTTTATCTTTTATTCTCTTTCGTCACTATAACTTTGACTAAATAAATTGATTATTAAAACAGTTTTGGAGGCACCTAATTTATTTTCTTTTTATTTATTTGAATATAAATCCTCGTTAGGGGATTCCATGATAAGAAATTCAGAGCAAATTTGTTACGGAAAGTTTTTTATTTAATATCTTTTGCACTTAGAAAACACATATTCACAACCACATATGTACTATGTATTTACATTTACAGCTGAGTTTGTGTTTACAAGTTGTTGTTGCTGAGCGCGTGGTGGTACGGATAAAATTACTAGCCTTGAAACGAAATTGAATTGGAATTTTGAGAATGCGCCGCTGCATTAGTCTCTGGGCATAGAAAGCTCTTTTGATTAACAGTGTCATCCTGTAGGAAGCAAAGAAATTTTTATTCCAAATTCAGTGTCAATCAAATTTTGCATACATATTATATACATATTATATACATTTATGCAAGATAGATTGCAAATAAAATTAAAATTAAAAAAAAAATATTATATACATATTATTACATATGTATGGACATTTTACATATTACTTCGACCTCCCTGACTGACTTTTAAGCATCAAAAAAACTGTTCTTGCATCTCTCAGCAATTAAATTTTAAAATTCCTTTGATTACTAAGTTTCAGTGGTTGATTAAATATTTTTCATCTGCAGCTGAACAGTTTTAAATCTCGACATTTAAAAAATGCTTGCCGATCATGACTCGGCATATGCCGTACGTTATGATGCGGATGGCACCTCTCGTGTCGGTTGGACGGTTGAAAGTACATATATATACTAGATTTATGCATTTATATATTTAAGTATATAAAATTTTAATGTACAATATAACTTTCTAACATATGTTAAGATTATTTAATATTTGATATTCCAACAAAGAAAAATTTTTCTTTATTGTTTTCTTGATTCTTTCAACCTTTCCCAATTTAATTTACCCAAAGATCAATTCGCGAAGCAATTGTTTTTATTAAATAAGTTGCAATAGGTTACAACAAAGGTTACCAATCAAATGCAGGTTACTCTTCTCGCACTCTATAGGAGATTCATATGAGAAATGATGTCGTGCTCCTGTGAGATAAGGATCTCATATCTACGAGGAGATTAGTAATTAGTGACTTTCAATTTGTTTTTGTTAAATCCAAAAATACCAAATCCTTTGCAATTACGTTATTAATATTGCTTTCAAATTTTTGAACGAGCAGCTAAAATGAAGACGAGAAAACGCAAGATAGCCAAGTATAGATCAGACGAAATGCCGTCATCAACGCAAACAGAAATTCGCTATGTGATGATCTGCGGATTTCGGCGTAATTTACAGCCAATACAAATATTCCGTGAATACCGGATTGCATATGGAACGACTACACCGACCTTGGTATTTTTTTTCTAAGTGGTTCCGTAGATTCCAGACCGTATAGTTTTTCGTAGAGGACGAGTCCCGAAGTCCTGGTGAAATCCCATGATAACATGAAATAATCATCTGGGATTTTAAATGAGGTTCTATAAGTATGATCCAGAAATCAAACAGCAGTCCATGGCTTGATGCCCAGCAGGAGAAAACCCATTCATAAAATCTAAGCAAAAAAAAAATAGAAGTTAAAGTAATGACATCTGTTTACTTCACCCAATCTTAAATCGTAGCTGCTATTCCACTGAGAAAAGATCAGACGTTTACTGCAAAATGGTACACCGAAGAATACTATTGTAAATAGCTTTCAAAAATTTGTTGGAAAACAGAATGAAAGAGGATTTGCGGCGCTACTTTTTACATCATGACAACGCTTCGTTCTCCACTGCTGAAATAATGAGTGATTTTATTGTGTTCTCTGGGTTCGAAGAAATATATCCAGCAACATATTCCCAAGATATAGCACCTTTTGACTTCTGGTTGTTCGTCTTTAATTATCTCAATGCGGTTAATGCTGAACTTGATAAGATCAAAAAACAAAAAATTTAAAAAACTTACAATTTTCACACGACCATCTTAGACATATTTGTTAGGTAATGATCGAAGGAACAAACATTTTGACAAAAATTTGGACTCTTTAGGTCACTGCGAAGTGTAGAATTTCTCACAAAAAATAAAAATTTCTACTATTCCTTCGATCACTACCCGCATTCATCCATTGTAATACTAATTATTTTTTGGTTTTTGGACTTCAGATAATTTGAAGCGGAAATATTTTCTTCACCGCCAGATATCTTTTTTTGGGATTCCCAGCTGGAGATCGACTACAGGAACAAGAGGAGCCAATATTTTCCAAAATTTTTTCTATTAATTTATAGAATAAAATGCCTCTAAAAAAAGAAAAGCTTTTTTTTTTTTACTTTGCAAGTGTATATAACCCTTTAGAGAATTTTTTGATTTTGAATATTTTTTCTAATTCTTCTTGTCTATTCTTGACTAAAGAAAATATTACATTTCTATTTCAAAGAATATTAAAATTTTAGATTTCTGTATACATACATGCATACATAATGTATCTCTAAACATGCAAAATTAAAACTCAACTTAAACCTTAGGTCACTTTCGAAAAGTATCAAGACACACATCACCAACTATTGTAGAAGAAGATCTCGCTCGATAATCGCTTCCGCGGTTATTAAGCGTCAATTCTATTTACTCGTACATACGTAGATATTACATGTGATTGCGTCTAAAATTTTCTTCATTACATTTTATTGAGGATTTTAACATACACATATGTATGTATATATATCTGTTTCGCTTTATTACTCACCTTGAATGCTGTTGCTTGCTTGGTGCTGAAAGCTCTGTTGCTAAGAAATATTTGTTGCTACTTTTGTTCTAGTCTAGTTGCTGCAGCATCGCATACGGTTTTTAGTTGTTAATATATATATGTAGGCAAGCACATATAATTCTCTCTATTGTTGCTGATTTATGCAGCTTTTATTGTAGAAAACTTTCTATTCGCATTGAGATTTTTAACTTTTTTCGTTGAAAGAAAATTATGAAAAAGACAAAAATCAGCTAATAATTTCTATTGCTGGGTGCTGAGTTAATTTCTATAATTTTGGCTTTTCTTGCTTGCATTGTTTTTCTTATATTATTATTTTTTTACATATATTTTTGTTGCATTTTTTTGTTAGAGGATAGGGCCGTGTGTAGAAGTTCACGAAAGGGGAGAGCAGTTTTTGACTGCCA